TGTATCCAGGCATATATTTTTTGCTTTACATTTTTTGATTGATTCATTTTCTCCCGCTTACCAACACTTTGTAGGTTATTTAAAGCCAGAATTCTTTTAGATCGTAAGAATATTTTTAGATAATAATGATTTTGTAATATAAGTCTTGCCAATTACCCCATAACTGGGGGGAGAAGAGGTGTATTCATGTTGTAGGCTCTTCCACAACAAGCCAGTTAACCCCTGCTAGAAAATGCACTATTCCTGTTGTAATTTTCACCATCACAATCTTACAAAATATATAACAAGCATCCATTAGTTAATCACCTTCAATCTAGCTTGCTGATTGGTCAGTTCCGACCAATCAAACCGCCTGCACGCGATAAATCTGCTTTCCCGCTCAATATGCTCGGAGCCTCCCACGTGATACACGATCATATATAAACAAAACACGTGTAAACTCCCTCGTGTTTCTTTTCATCTCTCTCTCGCGTCTCATTTACCAAGATGTAATCTTCAAGAACTCCCGTCTTAGCCTTTGCGATCAGACATTAAAGACCACATCAACATTTACGCAAGTACGAACTCTGAAATCTCTTCTGAACGTTTACCAGCTTGTACAATACCCAATTCTAAACATGCTAAAGAAACTTTATTCTCCTAAACTACAGTTTAATAATTACTTTCACTTTCTGAACTTAGGTACAAATTTTACATAATCTAAGAGACACAACTCTGTCTAACCTTTTCCCTCAGTATTCATGCATGTATATCAAATATTAATAAGTTACGTTTTGAAACAAGAGTTTTATGAATCTTTATTATCTGTCTTGTATTAATTGTTGTGGATGGAAGATTATTGAACACACACAATTGTAAACCTTCTGATAATTCAAACCTTGTATTCATCTCCAACACACATCCCACAAATGTATTTACGAGTAACTGAATATGTCTAACCCATCTGGAATTGGAACTCGGCTCTCCGGCTAACAACTCCGAGCCATTAACTGATGCACCGCGCACACATCCAAGGTTATAGCAGCAGTCACCTATCTAGGTACTGACAAGAATCGACGTTGCTTAACTTGTGATCGCACGGGTACCGGTGTTCCCACGTGCTGTTCCCGTTCGCCGTATAGATCAGTAATAAGTATATAGACGTTTATAGAATATAGGGATGTGCGATTAACGTCACGGTTTGAATGCGCAATCTCAGTTCGAATTTCCCCAGTTAAAGTTTTTACATAGAAACGCTAAATATATAGATGGACTGACCTTGTTATGTTAAATCTAGATGCTAAATTAACACATCTATTTTATCGCTTATTTTAATATATTTTTAATTCATTTCTTTTGTTATTCTTTTTAATTATACGTAACTATATTATCAGTACCATTGTTAGAAAGGCAGATACACTGTATAACACAGGATGACACTTCACCGTTAATGATTCGTAAAATGTTGCACATTCAATCAGTTTTGGGCTTAATAGAATAGTTTTTTCTTTAATTACAACTGCATTTCTACGTTAAAATTAAAGTCAGACGTATAACGAATATGAGAAAATGAACCCTTTTTTCTTATCTACATTCCTAGAATTTTCACCTATATATTTCATTATTTGTGATCTATTTTATAATTTTCTGCTCCATGTTTGGCGATGTTAGTTTTTTTTTCTTTTGTTTTGTTTTGATTTGAGTAGCTATCAAAAAAATAAATAATACATGATTACATCCTTCGAACTTGTAGTCGTTGTGGGGTTGCTACAGAATATTATACCTTTAACGTCCTGGATAAGACGATAAACTACGTCCGCGTTCTGGGTAAAACAATTAACTACATCCGCGTTCTGGGTAAGACGATGAACTACGTCCGCGTCCTGAGTAAGGCGATAAGCTATATCCGCGTCCTGGAGAAGAAATAAACTACATCCGCGTCCTGGGTAAGACGATAAACTACGTTCGCGTCCTGTAAGGCGATAAACTACGACCGTGTCCTGGGTAAGACGATAAACTGCGTCCAACAGCAAGGTCTCTGATCAAGAGGTTTTGAGGAGCGTGTAACCACCTCTTAATTGCTGGTGTTCCCAGGCCCACCCCGATTCAGGGTGGTAGCACCTGTTATGGTTCCAACTATGGGCAAATAGTTAACACCCAAACTGTAAAAAGTGTAAAAATAGGTTTTAATACATTTTTGTAAAGAATTATTACCAGTAATACTTTATTTCTAGCAATAAATCTTTGAAGAAAAAAATTTAACAGCAATATTTTTTTTTTTTGGAGTGGGGACATATTAGCAGCAATACATTTTTGAAAAAATAATGCCAGCAATAAAAATCTTGTTGGCATTAAATAACCCATTGAGATTGATATGCCGTAAAACAAAACTAGCCAAACCAAACATAATTTTATCAAAGTTTTGTTTTTGTGGACTTTGTAAGTTTTCCTCTTTGTATTACATACGAGAGGAGTTTAAATGTTTATTCAATGTATCCCTCTTCGTCGATCATTTTCCTTACGATCACCGAACTTAAGCAACGTTGAGTCCGGTCAGTACCGAGATGGGCGACCAGCTGCTGTAAATATGGATGTGCAGGTGGTTTGATAGATAACGGCTCAGATTTGTTAATCGGAGAGCCGAGTTCCAATCCCCGTTGGGTTCGATATATTATCTTACGCGGAAACATCGTTGGGAAATGTATGATTTCGGCTCTTCTCCCCTCCCCTAGTTATGTATTAATTGATAAGACTTGTATCTTTAAACCATTATTATCTAAAAAAAAATAAAAGAAAAAGAAAAGATTCTTACAAGCTTAAAATATATTCTGGCTTCAAATAACCTGCAAAGGGTTGATAAGCCGTAAAAAATAAATCGATCCATTAAAACCTCTTCATCGACTTTAGACACGAATAATTAGCCGAGAATGTTAGCTCGAGAAATCGTAACGAATCAATCTCATGAAGGTTTTAAATGAAGGAGTAAATGATTGGGTCATCAGCATTGATATCAAGTTAAGAATTTATATCATCGATGAAATATTAAGAACTTATGTTATTGATGAAAATTAAGAACAGATTAAGTCAAAAGATATAGTTCTACAGGACGCCTGCATTATTACGAAAAGGGTGACCCTTCAAGACAACTTTTATTTCGCATATTGATATTATAGACTGAAGTTCAAAAATCCGTCCGGGAATACCAAAGCCTTTCAACTCATGAAGAACGCTATGCCATACCTTGCTAAACGCTTTCGATTTGTCCAAAGCAACAACTCGGGCTTAGTTCGAAATTAGTCTTCGGATACGAAACTGAGCAAATATGTGTTTCCGCAAAATCAGAACGAGTCAGTGTGCTTTAAGAACAAAATACGACTTTGTTTTAACGTGACCTAATGGTTATTTCCTACTGAAAATACACCACTTCGAAGCAATTATACACGAATAAAGGAACTCGACAAAGGATTTAAACTTGTTAAATTCGACAATAATGGTTATCGCAAAGTTTCAATCTCACAGAGGAACAATTATCGAATTTCACAGTCGTATTTTTCAGCTGTGTCACTCTGTCTTCGAATAACTTCAAATAATCTGAAAAATTATTTTCGTTCCAGTCGACATGAGAATCAACCTATATTTCCATATATTGATCCATGACGGCTTTATAATTCTTGGTGAAGGATACAGTCAATATACACATATATACATGTTTTTATTACGTCAAACTTTATTCTCAATTTTTGTAATCATTTCACCCCAAGCATGGCAAGAATGCCATTAGTACACAGGGGTGTACAGGGAGTGAAAGTGAAAATGAAAGAAAATAGGGAGGATTGAGGGAAGGAAAAAAGATGAAAGGGATTCCAGAAGACAGAAGATAGCGAATGACATTGCATTTATATTTATGAAGATTGTAGTTATCAGGGAAGAAAGTGGGAAGTGCGAGAAAATAAACCGTTGGAGTAGAGGTTATGGTTGTATTTAGTAAAAGAATTGAACCTAAATGCTAATCTAGCAGTACGCTGAAATTGCTGTAGTCGAGGAACAAGGGAGAAAAAGCGCATCAGAATAGTGCAAATGAAACTAGAAAAAGAAGAGACAGAAGACACGCCATGTCAGAGAGAATGAGACTAAAGTCGAAATGTCAAGTCAAGATTATATTGCAGATTCTTGTTTGGAATTTGTCAAGAATCTCAAGATGAATAGCAGGGGCCTCATACATGATATGGCAACAGTATTCAATGCACAGACGAATAGTAGATTTGTAAGTGACCAAGATGGATTCTGACAAGAAAGATTTTCTGACACGACACAGACCCAATTGTCTTCCTTGGTGAATAGTCGTATTTATGTCGACGCTCCGATTATTTAAAACTGTTAATTTGCATAAATTCCTGTCAGCAATATTTTGTTTGTCTTTCTATTTTTCCTTTTTTTTTTGCCAATTGTGTTTTTGTTAATATTTAATACTATTTGACGGTAATGAAAACCCTTTTGTGAAAACCGTTTTTGCATTTTGTTTTATTTTTTTTAATTTACCTACTTTAGGTACTATTTTCAAATATTGTATCCGTTTTAAAAGATTCAACTTAATATTATTGCACCTTTTATGTACATTTGCAAATTCCCAAAATACTCGCACCAAATTATTTGATATACAGGCTGATAAATAGTTATGAACTTTAGAATGAGATAGATAGATAGTAACATTAGAATGAGATAGATAGATAGATAGTAACATTATAATGAGATAGACAGACAGATACGGCCATTAGAATAAGATAGATAGATAGATAGATAGATAGATAGATAGATAGATAGTAACATTAGAATTAGATAGATAGATAGATAGATAGATAGATAGTAACATTATAATGAGATAGACAGACAGATACGGCCATTAGAATGAGATAGATAGATAGATAGATAGTAACATTAGAATTAGATAGATAGTAACATTAGAATTAGATAGATAGATAGATAGATAGATAGATAGATAGATAAACAGACAGACAGAAACATTATAATGAGATAGATAGATAGATAGATAAAAACATTAGAATGAGATAGATAGATAGATAGATAGACAGACAGACAGACAGACAGACAGAAACATTATAATGAGATAGATAGATAGATAGATAGATAGATAGATAGATAGATAGATAGATAGATAGAAACATTAGAATGAGATAGATAGATAGATAGATAGATAGATAGATAGATAGATAGATAGATAGATAGATTCTGATTAATAATAATCACTACAATACGTGATCTCACGCCCTACCAATTTTCTTCAATATTCTAATTTGATTATTTCATGCCAAGAAATAAAAAGTAAATGCTTGGGGTGAAATGATTAAAAAATGGAGATAAAAATAGTAACTGACGTGTTTCGCTTGACATCACGTGACAACAAATCCCCAGGATACCCACAGCAAATTATTTGATATTTTGGCTGATTTATTATCTCTTTTCTCTGCACGATTTCTCTGTGCCCATTAATGTGTTATACACGCATCATCTGGCGGCTTTCAATAAAAATCAATTAACCTAAGCCACACACGCCCTGCTTTAAACATTCAGGAATTTACTCAGTATTGTAGCCTATTTAAATTATAAAACTGTTTGTTGGATTTTTAAATCAACTTATTATTTTCTACATAGAGCTTTCATATTATTGCCTGGTATTTTTCATTAGAGATCATAGCCCTGGGTATGTTAATAAACTATAACAGGTAGCAAAGCCTGTGATCGTGAGACTTGGGGAGCGTGGAGGCACCCCTTAATTGCTGTTGTTGGTAGGTTTACCTGAGCCGGGTGGTAGCACTTGTTAAGGTCCCAGATATGGGAAACTAGTGAACTCCGAAATACTATGAATGTATGGAAATATGTTTAATAGTAAAAATACCAACAATATAATTTATATATAAAATACACCAACGATACATATTTATAAGAAAATTTCCAACCATACATTTTAAAGCAGAAATACCAACAATGAATTTTAAAGCAAAATGAAAAAAAAACATTCCATCTGTAGTTGAAGCCATAAAACTTTGTTTAAAATATTTACATTTCAGTTTAAATAATCCGTAGAGGTTGATATCTAGCTAAACATAATCAACCAACCAACTAACCAACACTATAGATCAGATGATAGATCTGTCCTTAGTATACCAACACCCGTCTCGGAAGGTTTGGTTAGTTTTTCGACATGTCACCTCTTTTTGGGGTATTTTTTATGTCGAATACAAATCTCAGCGGACAAAGATGACAATAAATACTTTTCATCTGTCCTCAGAAATAATTTTGTTAAGCTCTTATCAGGATATTTTTCTGCACAAAAATAAACCTGTAATTTTATTTCTGATATCGATTCTAGTCAGTTTATTTTCTATCTTTCCTGGACACAGAAGACTAACAAACTTTCCACCCAATTCAAAAAGTCAATGTTATTTTCTGAACTATCGTTCATAAACATTGATTGAATTATTCGTTTTCTAGAGCTTATCAACACTTTGAAGGTTATTTGTAGCGATAAATTATTTTTAGATTGTAAGATTTTTTGGAGATCAAAAATATTTTAGTGGTACAAGACATAATAATTAACTCATAGCTGGAGGAGAAAATGCACATTCACACATTTCTCTAACGAATTGGCGTATAGGTGAATATAACGAACTCAACCGGAATTAGAACTCCGCTCTTCAATTAACAATTCCGAGCCATTACACCTGGTATTCCCAAGCGGTCACCCATCGCGGTACTGACCAGGCCTGACGTTGCTTGACTTCGGTGACCGTACAGGAACCGACCGATGAATATTCTAATAATTTCATATATAATGCAAATGTGGCAACTCAATAACGACTAGATTTTCAAAGAATTTATCTAATGATTCATGTAATTTTATTTTACAGCCTCCCTCCGTATTTTTTACAAATACTCTCATAGTAACTGCTCCGATAAGCTGCTTTCGCTGGTTTCCAAACTTCATGAATTTAAGCGTTCTACTAGTCTGGCATCTTGCTCACACCCTTTCACTGTAGAAACAGTTAAATGTAGCTGTCTCTTCTACTCAAATAGCTTCATGTCTCGCACCTATCGCCTGTTTCCATGATAGCTATAATCTCTAATTATTCAAATTTAATGTCAATCGACGTCTCCAGATGCCTTGATCTATCCCCTATCCTTCTCTTCATCCTTTCCTCTATCACTCCTATTTGCTTTAGCTCCAACTCTCTGTAACCCTTTACGTGCTAGTGGCTTCCCGCCTTGCTTGGGGTGAAATGCTTTAAAAAAAAAAGGAAAAAAAAAAACCTGAAAATCCAATAAAAGTGGAAATCAAAGCCCCAAAAAATCGATTCCCCAAAAAATGGATTATTAAATAGACAGGTGAAAAGTCTATGACTGTAAATAAAAGATGATTTGAATATAAAAGGGATCATTTATAAATGTATTCATAACGAACCAATCAGCAATTAAAACACGGGTTTCTAATTAACAATTCTGAGCCATTGTCCATTATACCAAACACACATGCAAGCTTACGACACCTGGGATTCTCAAATGGTCGCCCATTTAGGCAATGAGCAGACTTGACGTTGCTTAACTTCGGTGATCGTACGAGAACAGGTGTTTGAACGTACCATGACCGTAAGCCTTCAAGCGCTGTATACATTGTTCTTCTGCCGGACTAGACAGTCTTCTAAGAGCATTTACCAAGACATTTACATGCAACATTCTCCCAGTAGCTAATAAGCAAAGACACATTTATGTCGCCGAATTAGAATCTTCTAATTTCTATCGGCTATGATATCAGAATTAACGCATGAACGTAGTTCTACAATTGCAGCAAGCGATAGTCTTAATTATCAATAGTAGTCGATGTAAGTTACAGTCTTTGAATTCAGAAGCCGCTCAACGATGCAAAGAGTTCGTTAGTGTTTCCTTAGAAGCACTTCTAATGTCATTAACGTATTGTGCGTGCAAGCGTATACCTCAATGTTTTAATTAAGGTTATTTTGTTTTAACAAAAAATTTGTACATATACGACAGCAAAACGAAGACACAGTATAAAAATGTACATGCAAATACATATTTATATTCATTATATATATATATATATATAATTTATATATATATATATATATATATATATATATATATATATATATATATATAATTTTAAAACCAGGAGGTCATTTAAAATACGCGACCATGGTTTCGACTTAACGGTTCTTCTGGCGATACTTTTACAATGGTCACTTGAAAAGTATTACCCGAAGACCTTATCAGATCGAAACCGTGGCCGTGTATTTTAATTGACCCTTCTGATTTGTAAAGTTAAAAGCTCTACATGCCTTTTTTTTTATATATTTTTCTTACGTGTATTGAGAACTTCTTAATATTACATTTTGCCGGTAAACATAGAAGTCATCACTTAGAGGCGACAGTCTGTTTCATGCTATATGTAATCATCAGACCTGACGATTGCGTCTAGAATGAAACTAACTGTCGCCTCTAAGTGATGACTTCTATGTTCACTTTTATATTTACATACGCTCTATCTCTGATATTGAGCACTTTATCCCATAAATATAGCACATCTTAAGACTATATTTCTTCATATATATATATATAGATAGATAGATAGATATGAATACCTTGTACCATTGACTAAAAATTAGTATAACTGCTCAAAACATAATGAAACAATTATTATTAAGAGGAAATGCAAATAAGAAATAACTACTTTTTAGAACCTTCGAAATATTGGTTAAAAGTTTTGTTTTTCTGGCGTCAACCCGGGACTATAAATTTGTACGTTAAATTTAAACGTCCTTTTTCGATGAAAAGCATACATTTTTGAGATTCTTGCAAAAATCAGATATTTGTCAGATTTTCGTTAAAGTTTTATTCACAAATGATTGAAAATATAATATACATTATATCGCCTCCTTATCTAAATTTCTCACACATCAGGTTTTCGTTAAATGTGTCAATATCAGATAAAATCACAGAACATTAAAAATGATAAACTACGATATGTTAAAATAAAAGTAATTCTTTATGTTGTGCTGACAGATTTGTTAATATGGACGATTTTATAGATGTTACCGATAATCGGGAAAAAGTATTTCAAACAATATAATTCCGGTTCGAAATGCAGCAAAGCATGTTGTTTATTGAGAATGTTATATTTAATCTAATGAAATAGATTTTTTGATGGTATATATATATATATATATATATATATATATATATATATATATATATATATATATATATATATGTGTGTGTGTGTGTGTGTGTGTTAAACCAATATTTGACGTTTTTTTTTCTCCATATACATAAATTTAAAATTTTAGAAATTGAGCATTTTACTGAAATATGAAAAAGTGTTTCCATATCTTCGTCTGAAAGAAACAGGATAGAAAATTTATTTAAATTATATTAAAGAAATAGAATCTCTTCGTTACACTAATTGAAGCAGCCACGTAACATAGCATATAAGCAATATATTTGAATCAAGGTAATAATTGATATTAATATATATACAGCAGTCGTATCTATCTATCTATATATATACATATATATATATATATATATATGTGTGTGTGTGTGTGTGTGTGTGTGTGTGTCTGCATTGTATTTATTTGAATTACATACAAATATTTACAGACATGTATTTTTGAAAATGTGAATAAATATTGAAATTACGATACGATTTTACACGAGATTAATTTTGTTAGATAGTTAGATAGATAGAAACATTAGAATGAGATAGATAGATAGATAGAAACATAAGAATGAGATAGATATATATATAGAGATAGATAAAACAGGCTAACATAAATATTATGAAAGTTAGTTATATTTAAACAAATCTACACATACATATATATATATATATATATATATATATATATATATATATAAAGAGAGAGAGAGAAAGATAGATAGAGAGATAAGTAAATAAAAACAGGCTAACATTGATATTAAGATATATACATATAAACAGATCACTAGAAATATATATATATATATATATATATATATATATATATATATATATATATATATATATATATATATATATATATATATATATATATGTGGGAGATTATAGTTGTTCCAATGAGAGAAAAGCGTATATTTTTAAAACTTATGGAGGAAGAAATACAGAAATTGAACAAAAGAACAGATACTATTCTTCTACAAATCATATCGCAGCAAACCAGGGGACACCACTGTAGCACAGAAACTCTGATGGAATATCTCAAAACATTGTGTTGGCACCTAGAAAATATAAAAACTTACACATCCAAGAGAAACCATACAAAACAAAGAGACAGAATCTCCAAATGTAGGACAACCTTCTTAATCAAAGAAAACTAGCATTTTTCAATGCTATCAAAAAGAAAGAAGCCTCAACAATATAAAAACTACATAGACATAGAGGAAATATTTATTCCAAGGAAATTCTGTGGAAATAATTAATCCACAAGACACGAAAAAACATAAACAAATAAAAAACACACTGAGCCTAACAAAAATGCAGGCCCAAAAATGAAATACAAGAAGACAACACAATACACTTTACGAAAAAATACACAGAGATTGATAATAAATTGTGAACAGAAATCAAGGAACTATGTCCCAAAAGAAACTCACCAATTTCTCTCTGAGTCGAAATGCAAGGTAAAGGAGGAAAAATCCCGGAATATCTTGGAAAGAAAGATAACCAGGGTGAAAACATTGCCAAGAAAAGAAAAATCGGACAATGAGACAGACACTCCCCCCCCCGCCACAAAAAAACGATCCAAACTCTTCACACTAAAACACAGTACTCAACACAAAAAAATATATACGACATCAGCAAATACAAAGAAAACCACACATCAGAAGTAAGAAGCTTAATACATGCTAACACACACAGACACACCCACACAAAAAATACAATTACGAAAATATGCTAAAAAGCGCACAAAAAACCTTCACAACAGACCATCACACAATAACACAACCAGAAAAAGGTCAGAATACACACACATTTACAAAATCAACACTTACAGATACCACCTAGCACAAGAAACCAAACGTAACAACCACTACCCATAACAAGGAATACAACCAAAATTCCCCGAAAATCTCTACACACAATCAACTTAGAATCCAGACAGAAGCAGCCAATCTAAAAACATATGGAACACCCCTTATAACAAAAACGAACACGCTTATATAAAACCATCTAGAAACAACCAGCCCAATTTTACCAAGAGAAACTCTCACTGGCCAGAAAACCCGAAATGTACACAGAGAGGTTATCTCTTAGAAAACCGGAAATATGTGGAAAGAAACAATCATTATTTTTTAGATGCCCCAGTCTGAACAAGAAGTCCAGTTTATATGACACACAACCCAAAATAATAAACTTATCTACATATACTTACAAAGGAGGAAATCAACCTATTAAATTGGGCCTAAAATTCTACCATTCTGCGAAAAGCAATATAACCGCCCTAAAAAAAGACATTAGAGAATTTGAACGCAAATTCAGACTCAAAGAAACATTTAATAACAAAAACCTTACAGATGAGTCATTAGTAAAAAAAAAATAAAAAAAAACATCCAATTTATTCCCAAACAAAAATAATAATATTAATGAGCTAAATATATTTTTTGAAAAACTCTGGAACCTCAACCTACAAGAAAAATCGAAACCATTCAACTTACATACAAAGACTAGGCTTAGAGAATATCCGAAGAAATAATATAATCATAAAAGAAGCAGATAAAGGCAGCGATATAGTGATCATGAACAAAACATACAATAAAACAAAAAGTCTAGATGATCTAAAAGATAACAACAACTGCAACAACATAGACAAAAACATTATATCAAAAATTACAAAACTCTACGCATCACATAATAAGATATTAGCAAAAAAAAGAAAAGGATTTCCTAATAAACTTTGTACCACAAACAAGCAATTTCTACGGACTACTAAAAACTCACAAATCGAGTGAAATAAAAGCAGCTATCCAGACACGAAAATATGAATACATTAGCAGCCCAAACCCCAGGGAGCCTATATTCAGCCTCATTGTAGTATTGTTATTACAGTTCAAGCAGAAGAACTTTCTCACCAACAGTCCAAGGAAGACATTTGTGTCAATACCACACAAAAAGAGAATGTTTAACATCGAAAAGCATAAGGAAAATGAATTCATTTTAATAATATGTAAAAATATCCACTCTTTATCTGAAGAAGGTTGCGAGACCCGAAACATCTTTGAAAAGTATGGGAAATAAAACATAATATATATTTTGAAAAAAATGTGCATTACAACCAAAAGCGTTTTCGGTTTCTTTCTTCTTTTAATATATATATATATATATATATATATATAAGTGAACATTGAAGTTAATACTTAGAGGCGACAGGCTGCTTCATGCTAGACGCAATCGTCAGGCCTCTAAGTGTTGACTTCAATGTTCACTTTTATATTTACACACGCTCTATCTCTGATATTGAACACTTTATCCCATAAATATAGCACAACTTAAGAGTATATTTCTTCATTATATATATATATATATATATATATATATAAAACTTTCTACAATATATAAGTTTCTAGACAATAGTTTTATTTTTTTAGATAGATAGGAAGATTAGAATGAGATAGATAAATAGATATGAACATTAGAATGAAATAGATAGATAGATAGATAGATAGATAGATAGATAGATAGGAACATTAGAATGAGATAGAAATGAATATTAGAATGAGATAGATATGAACATTTGAACGAGATAGATAGATAGATAGATAGATAGATAGATAGATAGATAGATTTAGCCTTAGCGTAGGTATATCCGTCGGTATATCCATCGAATATATATTGTATTGTATATATTTGATATAGTCTCGAGGACCATGAATGAAGGCTGATCTAATGTAATATTATGCGGCATCCGACAAATTTTAATATGTTCGTTTCTACTTCGGAAATATCCAGATCATCAACATAGTATTATCTCCGTCTTTCCTAAGCAGCACGTATGTAGAGTCGAAGACATCAGCTACTTGATTACAATTCCTAAATAGATATGTAGAAGTATAGGTAAATCTTCAGATTATCTATATAAATAGATACACGGATGATTGCTTCGAGAAGGAATCAGGCTGTCGGAGCTTGTCGTTGTTGACTACAATGTCTAATTTATATTTACGTAGCTTTTGATCACTTCTACCTATGACTAGTAGGAATTACATCTAATTCCGATTTATTTCAATCCTAGATGAACTTTGTCTGGAAAATGTAGCAGTTTTATAGAATAATCTCTATTTAGATACATAGACAGAAAGTAACGTTGCGATAAAATCTAACGAGTTCAAGAATGTTACGAAAACAATCAAAACCTATCAACTATCAAGAAAAGGAAGGAAAATTATGAAAGACGAAATCTTTTCCTCTTATTATTTCTTTTATTAATATTGCAGATATATATTTTACATATGAATTTTTACACTCCCCACCCGCGCACACACGCATGCATATATATATATATATATATATATATATATATATATATATATATATATATATATATATATATATATAGTTTATGAAAAACTAGGTAATTCGTATGGGTAAACCCAAGGAGGATAAAATCCAGAGAGAGCTCAATGTAAATCCAGAGCAAATAATTTAAATAAAAACAGACCACTTTAAGGTTCCATGTTCCATTTATAATTTTAATAAGAAAGTATAGAAATTTTAAATTACATCTAACTCACTCAGGTCTTCTCTCTCCTCTCTCGCTTCCTCACTTCATTAATTTACATATATATATATATGTATGTGTGTGTGTGTGTGTGTATCAGGTTTTTGTAGTACAAAATTTAAAGATAGCTAAGAATAAGCATAATTTATAGGCCATTTTAATGTATATGTTAAAAGATAAAAAAACAACCTGTTTCTTCACAGATTTCGCCATTTTATTTCATTTAACTTTATTAATTTACTTTTTGCATGAATGATTCATTGTAATGTAAATTGAACTGCACCACATATTATATATATATATATATATATATATATATATATATATATATATATATATATATATATATATACGGGCTGTCCACACAAAATGTAATTACTCTCTAAATGACAATAAATTCAGATTCTATTAATTTACTAACAAGGGCAATAGTTAACATTAAGAAATATTTAGTTAATTTAAGATTAACGGCTTAAATCGGTCTGTCTGTCTGTGTGTGTGTGTGTGTGTGTGTTGACATGAGATCCAGACTTGTTCAAATTTACAAAAATCATGGAAACATATGGCGAATGCTCTTGATGTTTTCAAAACTTCGAGGCAAATTAAGATCTCACAGATATGCTTCAGACAATTCCTACTTTATTGTTGAACATTCTTATTTCATGAACTCTTTCGCAGAGAATTTAGGTTAAATCCTTGAAATTAATAGCATACTTAACTTTTTTTTGTAAAATCGTTTTAACACCATGCAAGGCGATAAAGCCACTAAGAAATAAGAAGTTATTGGTTGTGGAAGAATTAGAAACAGAAACATTAAACCTAGGAATAAGCATAATTTATATGGCATTTTAATGTATATTTTAAAAGCTAAAAAAACAACCGGTTTCATCCCAGACTTATCAAGTTTATTTCTGAGATATAAAAAATATAAAACATGTAAATTTAATTGATATTAATGATCACCAATGGAGGGAAAAGAAAAAAAATATATGAATTTCAAGAAAGCTAGGGTCCAATAACATTCAGACCCAGTAAGCATTCCCTCTGTTTACAGAGGGAAGGCCCACAGGATCTGATATAAAAGGACTCTAGAGCCTTGACGTGATATGAGGAGTGGGACCTCGATAAAATAGAAATCCTGGTGTACCCTAGTAATAATAATTATTAAAACTGATCCACATAGAGCTCTATGTTTTTTTTATTTTAACAGAGCATATATATATATATTTTACAACAAAAAAAATACCTGAATATAGGTATAGTGTGTTTCAAACGTTCTTCACACGGCTATCATCAGCCTCTAAGTTCTTGTCTCGGAGCATCGTTCTAAATTATTTTTTAAAGTCAGTCTTCCTCTAGTCGGCGCCTTTTTAATGAGAGTGGGTTTGTGTTAGCGATAGGCGGGGGCGTAAGGTATTTTATCCCGGTGGAAGTGGTCTGGGTTGGGGGTTTATTTATGGCCAGGATTTTTGTTTGTAGTTTAATATCAGTTAGTACTCTCTGGTGTTTCTTATGAAGGTCCCGGAGTGTGTTTTTCTGTTATTCACAGTAAATAGCTTTTGTACTACTAAGCGATGGGGGATTTAAATTTAATATTTATATATATATATATATATATATATATATATATTTAGTGATCTGTTTATATGTAAATATCTTAATATCAATATTAGCCTGTTTTTATTTATCTATCTCTTTATTTCTTTTTCTCTGTCTCTGTCTCTCTCTGTCTCTCTATATATATATATATATATATATATATATATATATATATCGATATGAGTATATTGAAACAACTTTCCTAACATCTATGTCGGCCTGTTTTATCTATCAGGATTGATGTGTACGGAATAAATTCCAATAGACAAAAAATACTATTCTTAAAAGAGTGCTCAATAGAGAGTAGAACACATATAATTATTTATTCGAAGTATTTGAAAGTAGATTCTACTTTCACCACCATCACTTGATAAGACACCAGAAGTGTTGAAACAAAATGGCTATTTTTGTAGTGATTTTTAACATATTTATGTCATAATTTTCGAATAATTATGTATATATATGAGAGACATCGAAGAAAAACTTAACACATCAAAGAAAACACGGTTGTAAATTATAATTTATTTTAACGGGTAAGTTTTTTTACGCCAGTCTCACCAGATCCAAAATGACAAATGGTTTAAATTTAAATATATCCATGATAATTTTAAAAAACAAGATTAATATTATAAATCCACAGAAAATGGATTTTCTTAGTCAAGCGTCTTGACTTCTTGTTATCTTGTTTTTTAATCCCAACCATTTCAATCAGACATTCCTAAAAAGAGAATTTGTTGCCTAAATACACACACACACACACACACACACACACACACACATATATATATATATATATATATATATATATATATATATATATATATATATATATATATAGTAGTAAAAACCTCAAATTAAGTGGGCCGGAACCAACGGACTCCAAATTTAACTTTAAAACTTTTTCCAATTTTTAAAAAAGTACATAGTAACTTAAAAATAAAATACACATGGATATATACTTGTTGAGTTGTTGGGAGTGTTCCCGCGTGTGTGCATTCGAATAAAGACAAACACAGTTGTAGGGATAAATACTGGTATATTTGTAAGAGGTAATTAACAACAGAGTGATTAGTAATAAGGAACGTCGGTTAGTAAGTAACAATAGCAAAAGTCTACAGTCCAACGGTATGTAATGGTAACCTGATCTCGACTGCTGTCGCTGAACCTGATCCTCGCACCATCACCACTACTCTCTCTAGCACTGACTTATATCGTAGAGAGATAAGTCCATTATCAGTCAGAAGGTGGGTGCGCCCCAACAATACTGTATTTACAAAATTTTGATCTGTACTGGGTGTTTTTAGGCCATAATAAAAATTTTCAAATTAAAGGACAGAAAGTGTTTAACGGACGATCGCACTATTAGTCCATTAAATTAATGTTCCACTGAGGAACGGGGTGTTCAAGCTAAATTTGAGAGATTATTTTTTTTCTATCTGGTTTGGGATATCTGCAAACAGGGAATAGTATTATGACACCTAGTCCCTACAATTTCCGAGGTGTCAGAGCTAACTGAAATGGACGTGTGGAAGCTACCTGAATATTGGAGTAAACAGCATTATGATGATTCGTGCCCGAAATCAAAATGATCAAATCATGTCAGCCTCACAATGCTCTTTGAATGCCATAGAACAAATAAGATGTGAAATGGTGAGCTGCAAAGGAGATTCGTGTCTTCTAGGACATAACACAGCAGATGTGCTGATTGCCTCCGTATACTAGAATCCATCCAACAACTGCAGAGGAAAAAAATGGAAGACGCAGGCAAGGGAATACAGACTTTGCGCGGGAAATGTGTATTGAAATGTCTGGCCTTGAATCAGTACCTCTGCTACCAGGCATACAAGAGGTGTAACGGTCAAGTTCATAAAAAAACGTCTGCGGCAAAGAAAATCGTGAACAAGTTAAAACATCCTTCAGTATCTGTCTATATTTGTGAGATGAGGTATTATGTAAACTATTTACATTATTCTGACTATTGTCCTCATCTTTGTTGCCATATTTATCACAACGTTTGGGGCGTTTTTATGCTCCGGCCTTCTTCAGGTGTTTGGAATGTCGAACTGAACCCTTTAATTCGCTCGCTGCGGAATAGACTTCTCTAGTTCCACGCGTATTGTCTAATGGATTTCCGTTATCAGTTATCTCCTGTTATTTCCTCAAATTCTCCACCGTCTTAACCAGGTATTGAACTCACACTCTTGGGTCCTGGTTAAGGCGGTGGAGAACTGTCTTTAACGCAAAGGCCCAGCTGGTCGACAGGATTAATGAGGTTTTTGAGGCTCTAGTAAGGGACACCGTGAAGGTCGCATGCGCCAGATTCCGGAGTCGGATCAAGGCAGTGGTTGATGCTGAAACAGATTATCTTTCGGTTATAATAACCTGTTTGACACTTTTTCATTTTTTCAATGAATTGATTTTTGGTTTAGATATTTATTTGTTTTCCCTTAAAAAACTGTAAAATTTAGTCCGAATACCATTATATATATATATATATATATATATATATATATATATATATATATATATATATATATACCTGTCAGCTGTTAATATACCTCATAACACTCACGAGCGCTTAGACTTGGAGCGGGTAGAATGGAGATCAACGTGTTTTAGTGGACTCAGCAGTTTTTAATTAGCTTGTCTGAATCGTCTTCAATAAGAAAGAACAAGATCTCAAAGATCAGCCAATCTAACAGTGATCTCATCCCACAATCCTTATTCTTGAACCATATGCGGCCTTTGTAAATCACCAGCGGGTCTTAAGTGCCACTTAAGATTATCGTACAAAATTTCATACATAAATCAATTAAGTTGTCAGATCCTGAAACGTCGAAACCGACAGGAGGTTCCATTATATATATATATATATATATATATATATATATATATATATATATATACGTATGTATGTATATATATGCATATATATATATATATATATATATATATATATATATATATATATATTGACCACTAATATTATATATATATATATATATATATATATATATATATATATATATATATGTATGTATGTATACAAAAAGAAATACCAATTTGTTCTTCACCGTCCGATGCAACTTTGAGTTTCATGTACGTGGCAATCGTTATGAATAAATTAATAAGTGACCATTGTCATACATTATTATTTATAGCCGACTGGCAAGATATTGGAGCACTACATTTAATTAAGATAAAAATAAATGTATAAAAAAAATGATTGAAAAATATATACATAATATATACACTTCAAATATATACATAATATATATACTCAAAAGATTTGTCATATTAAATCGAGCTCTGTTTAATTACCACCAGCACTATTTGTGTGATATATTAAAATTATATTTACATTTTCTTCTTTTAGTTGAGCACTGTCATTGATGTAATAAATTGTTTATACTTTGTGTCTTAACACTCCCGGAATATAGAACCAATTTACTTGGAATACTCTTCAAAAAAAAAAAAAATCACTGTTCCTTATAAACAATCCTATAAGCTGCTCTTTTACACAAGATCGAGACCTTCATAAAAAGAATCAGGGGGAAACTCTTCTTATTCAAACACAAGAACGAGTACAGCATCTTGAAAGATGCCGATATTTACGGATTTAAGTTTCCCCCCCACACCAATGCGACGATCTATTACGGGACTTCAAAAAAAGTTCTATTCTCGACAAAATTACATTCGCGAATATTAACAACGATCTACAGCAAAAATACTAAAAGACGTTGCTATGATCAAAAATCCGACAAAATATTCATCAAAGCAGATAAGACGGATAACAATTACAATTTAGATGAGACGGGTAACCATTACAAAGCAGATGAGGCGGGTAACAATTACAATGTAGATGAGACGGGTAACAATTACAAAGCAGATGAGACGGGTAAACATTACAAAGCAGATGAGACGGGTAAACATTACAAAGCAGATGAGACGGGTAACAATTACAATGTAGATGAGACGGGTAACCATTACAAAGCAGATGAGATGGGTAAACATTACAATGTAGATGGGACGGGTAACTATTACAAGGTCGATTCGTGTATGTACCACAAAGCCATTAACAAGGAATTTAATAAGCTTTACAAAAAGACACCCAATACCTGGGAAAATAACATCAATATTGAAACTAAGTAGATAGCCAGTTAACTAAAAATTGATGATAGGATCCACAAATTCCATAAACAACAATCATTCATCTCAGTTAAACATTATAATTCAAATTTTCTAAACAAACCTCAATATCGACTGCTTAACCCAACTAAAAATAATATCGGTAAAATCAGCAATAATATCCTTGAAAAAATATCATGCTAAAACACGGAAAATACTCTAGGAATTAACCAGTAGCAAAAAACAGATGAAGCCATAGAATGGTTTACTAATACAAAAAAGAAAGAATGAATTTACATTCATAAAATTCGATATTTATAACTTTTACCCATCCATCAGAATCTGTTAATGGCTACTGTAAATCTAATAAAAAGTCACTGTCCTATTAACAATTGCGAAATTAAACAGACACAAAAACCGATACTATTCCATAATGTTTCTCTGTGGACCAAAAGAAGTAACCCAGAATTTAATATTGCTATGGGAGCATATGATCCAGCGGAGGCAAGCGAATTATTTGTACTATAAAGCTATTAACAGGGCAGTTAATAAGTTTTATAAAAAGGTATCCAACAACTGGGATAATAACATAAATAGTGAAGGCAAGAAAATTGCCGCTCAACATAAAAAATGATGATAGGATCCACAAATTCCGCAAACAACAACCATTCATCTCTTTTCTTTTACCACTTACACCTCTTTGTCTATATATTTCTTTGATTTTTTTTAAAAATATAACTTGGTATGTTTTCTTTAATATAGCTTGATTTAATTTATTTTTGAATATTAAAAATGGATAATTTATTTTATATTATTTTTTTTATTCTTTAATACAATTCTTTTTGAAATAGAGTCTTCCTTAAATTTAATATATATATGATTTATTGTTAATGTTTTAAATGTATCTCATTTTTAAGTATAATTTGTTACTTTTTTAAATAGGAACCTAACTTTTTTATATATATAATTAATTCTTGTATATGAAACTCGTTTACGGTCCCCTTGTAGTTACAATTTAACACACCATACTTCATATATCTACAATTTAATGCCATAAGGTTAATATCCGGGTTAATTTTATAAAACCTCTTCCCTTTAAGGCTAATACATTCCACCCTTCCCTGACCACCAACTCGGGCATTTCGTTTGACTGAAACATCGAAATGGATAATTTCTGTATCAATTTTGTGACTGCTACCAAAGAATAAATTTAAATTTCTAATCCTGAAACGAACACAGTCCATACACCGGGGTTGAATAAGACTAACGTACTTCTCGTTAGTTGAAACAGATCTATACCCACGCATATGAGAGGTAATTTTGGATTTTTTAAATATATATATATATATATATATATATATATATATATATATATATATATATATATATGGTAAGATAAAGAACAAATAGAAAACATTTATCACTCTAATATATTTCCTTTCATTAAATCTTTATCAGAAGATAAGGATTCACTTGATTTTCCCTCAAAGAAAAAAAAAAGTAAAAGATACCAGAATTTCTATTTTTCTCCATATATCATTCTCTGATGAAACATGTGAAACCTGTTTGATTGCTAAACGTTTCCTGTTTATTTTTATCTCATCATTCTGTCGGATTCGAACCATAGTTGATCTGTATTTGTTACCAATTCACACACACACACACACACACACACACATATATATATATATATATATATATATATATATATATATATATATATGGTGTCCTGAAGATAAGCATGAAACAGTCTGTCGCTTATGAGTGTTGACTTCAATGTTCACTTTTTAATTTATATTTGCTCTGTCTCTGATATTGAGCACTTTATCCCATAAATATAGCATATCTTAAAACTATATATATATATATATATATATATATATATATATATATATATATATATAAATCAACACATAGAGGCGCTAAGTGTTGACTTCTATATTCACTTTTATATTTTACACGCTCTATCTCTGATATCAAGCACTTTATCCCATAAATATAGCATACCTTAAGACTATATTTCTTCATATATATATATATATATATATATATATATATATATATATATATATATATATATTTAATATCCATGTATATATTTTACATATATACATATATTTATGTATACATATATTAGATAATAAAATATATAATAATAATAATATGGGAACATTATTAAATGGAAGCTGAATGACATTAAATGTTTCGACAACAAGACCAGAAAAATACTTACCAAATGAAGATGCACTACCCGACATCAGGTGTTGACAGGTTGTACGTACCAATAGCTTTAGGAGACCGATGTCTTACCCAACTAACACTAAAAACCATAAGAATAAGACTGGAACCATACCTCAAACAAAACAATGACACCTTCCTACAAATAATAAAACGCCAAATCCACCCGCTCTTCAAAGAAACAGCTTAATATACGTGGAATCCGACCAACATAAAATGAAGCGAAAATCATCTACGCCAAAAAGAGTTAAACAAAGAAGAAAACAATTGAACAAATGAAATTCCTAACAAACTGGGTGGACAAGGCGTTGCATGGCAAATAACTAAAAAGAACGAAAGTAGACGTGGATTAATAGAAAGCGCATCAGTTGCCGAGGAGCACCAGGTTGAAAGCTGAGACAGAATGCCTAATTATTGCAGCTCAGAACCAAATCCTCGCAATCTGATCCTATCACTGTCACGTAAGCAAGGATGAATCTAACCGGAAATACAGGACCTGCGGAAATATATGTTGAAATTGTCGAAAATATTCTATGTTCGGAACTAGAAAACAATGAATATACCCAGAGACATAACAAGGTAGCGATATATATGCACTGAAAGATATACAAGAAGCACAAAATCAAAACCATTGAGAGGTGGTATGAGCACAAACCAGACACAGTTCCCCAAAATAATAATGTAACTATCCCCTGGGACATGCTAATTCAAAGTGACAGGGAAATGAATGCCAACAGATCTGGTATTATCATAAAAGATAAGAAATCCAAGAAGTGTATAATTATTGGCATAACAGTACTATCTGAGAGAAACACCCCCATGAAAATTATCGAGAAATTCTCCAAATACAAGGATCTGAGGATCGAGATTAACAGGACATGGGGAATGAAGATTGTACCAATCGTATTCGGAAGTCTGTGCCTCGTGAGAAAAGGAATGGACAACTTTACTAACAGTGCCCTAAGTAACATCAACACAGAGGTTGCGCTGAAGATCACCCTACTAGGAATATCCCATATACTAAGAAAAGTGCTA